TAGGGTTTAGGGGTTTAGGGTCTGGTCCGCAGCTCAGATTGAAAGAATCAAGTCGACGGTAGAGAACGCAGGGTTGGGAGTGCGGTTCAGAGACCCCGATCTTGTCTCGGAGTCTAGACTTCTTTAACTCCAACCATGTGTCGCCATCCCCCTTCTACTGCCGCCCCAGCTTCGACCTCTTTCATCACAAAGTTTTTTCGTCAAGGCTCAGTTGATTCGGGTTAAGGCTATGCGGCTTATAGGATGTAAGATGGAAGCATCTTGGAATTCAAAGCTCATGCCCCGTGCTTGGCGAGGCCATGTCCCGAAGGGTGAATTCCCGCATCCCCCAAGCTCTATTGCAGAACTATGTCAATGAGCTGACTCCAATTGACACACTTGAATGAGAGGTCTGTTCAGATCTCAGGATTTGTTTCGGATGTTTGAAGTGAACTATGCCATGTTTGAGTGGGCTGATGCTTCGAAATTCCCGGTTCGCACAGGACAGATTAAGACAGAGTTGTTTTGGGTACATGAGAGGGTAACTAATTGTTTTGGGACTAGCATTACAGAAGGGGGATGTATTTGATTTTCAGGCCTCTGTGTTATAAGTGTCCTTCAGCTTCTTCCAGTTCTCTGTCAGCTCCGCTCTTCGCTTCTTCTCCTTGCAGCATCCACCGCAGAAGGCTGATTTCGCTCAAAGCGTTCAGGGAGTGTCAGTTAAAAGTTTGCGTTTAGCGTTTGGGGTTTAGTTTATGAGTGTAGAGGAAGGACACCGTGCCCAACTTATGTAAAGGATGGCGACACATGAGTTGGTGGTCACACTCAGGTCATGGACGCTCAAGCATATCAAGCGCAGTAATCACGCCTGCCTTTACCAAAGGAAAGATGGCGAGCCTGGCAGCCCTTGGCTGATCTCTGTAGACTTAGCCTACGCAAACCCTGCAGATATCTGTCTGGCGTACCCATTGAAAGCCGCGGATGCAACCCAACCAACAATTTCTTAAGCCTTAAACCCACAAGAAGAAGTACATGCTGAACCTGGACGTTCCCACAATAGCCCCTGCGAGAGGCCAATCCCTAAACCCTAACCCCCACACCCCTGGACCGCTAAACCCCTAGCGCTAAACCCCTAAACCTCATAAACCCCACCCAAACACCCCTAAGTAGTTCCTTTTTATGGTTTATATTTAGAATCCTTATGAGGTAATCCCAAAAAGGAACTGCTTAGGGGGGTAAGCCCAATCCTGGTCCAGCTTTTCGGAGAGCTCCTTCCGACGGGCCTGGAGATGAACGACCTTCCAGGATGCTACGTCAATTAAGGGCTTTGTACCCTGAAGGACCCAATAATAAGGTCCCCGGAAGCACATGTAGTGGATCTTGTAAGGGCTGGTAAAGGATGTGTGTTTATGATGGCCTTGTGTAGGTATTTGAGGGTTGGCCGCAGCAAAGTTTAAAATCGCGCTGTGGAAGTTTTTGCACCAGTTTGGACCTTTCAGGGCTGGCGGTTTGGAGTTTGGGGGTTTCAGATGTTTTGGTTTTACAGCGTGCGGGGCTTCTTTTATATAGGAGCTTACGGTTGGCTCTTTTGAAGTCAAGACTCCAGGGTTTGGGGCTCCAGAATCGACCATTGAAGGGCATCATCTAGAGCTTCGAAACGGGCGGGCTTCAGGCTTCGGGGCTTACGTTCTGATGTTCTTCGGGGATTTCAGAATTTAGGGGTTCGGGCTCGAGAAGGGCTTTCTTCGGCAGCACCCCTAGTTGGAATTGTTGGCATAAACACTGGCCACATGAAGGAAAGAACAAAAGACTAAGTCTATGAGTTGGCATTAACGAATGCAGAAGTCTCGATCAAGCCATGCATGCCACAGTCTTCAACGACCTGGGAGTAAACCTCTGCAAGTACATCCCCTCATTGATATTCCGAAGAGTCTTCTATCAGCCATTTGAATTCCTCCTCACCCCTAACCACAAACATTCCTAGAGTCGGCAGCCTCCTCCTGCGCTTTTGACAGCTGCATCTTGAGATCCTGGACAAAGACGCAAGGCGTTCAACATCCGGGTTGCCAGTTATGCTAATTTCGGTTTAGACTTGCGACGGCTTGAGGGTTAATGGTTTGGGACGCTCTACCATGTTTCGACCAATCCAAGGAAGAGTCATTGACACTGACACCGCGAAAGCTGAGGCAAATGAGCTGCTTGCACTTGGCTGACTTCTGGACCCCTCCTAAAAGTTAAACTTTTTTAGCCTCCTTTTTACAGTTCATATAGAAATCCCAAAAGTTAAAGTCCTAAGAGCCAAACCCTAAACCCTAAACCTTAAACCCTAAACCCTAACCAGAAGAACACCAAGTACAGAAAGCCAGCAGGATGCAGGATGGTGGAGATTCCACATGCTTCTGCTCTGACGCCTCCCTGGCCATCGCTGGATGAAAGCTATACCCGTAGGCTCCATTAGGGTTCCTTTTTGTGGCTTGTATTTAGGATCCTATAAGGTACCCATAGGCTCCATTAGGGTTCCTTTTTGTGGTTTGTATTTAGGATCCTATAAGGTACTCCCAACAAAGGAACCACCATGGAGCCTATAAAGGTAACTCTTCACTTGCAGCCGGCCCTAGGGCCTTAGGTCTACAGTAAGTGACTTTGTCTTAGGTCGGATTCTCGGCCACATTACCCTCCCTAAGAGTCCCAAGGTTACAGTCCCTTAAATCGTATGTTATATAATCCATGAATAAAGTATACCCATAACCCAGTAACTTCCTATATTTTGGGTAGCTGGGCTCTTGGGGTTCCATCTGCTTTCATTGGACCCGTGCCGCCTTCCTCGCGTTCTCTGCGGAGTCCACGGTAACTTGCACCGCATCGTTTTTGCTCTTCACCTGCGAGGGGAGCGAAACAATCTTTCGATTCCGAGATTTCGACACATGTTCGTCACTGCTCTTGGAATGTTAGAATGTTAGAACCACAACCACAAGGTTTCTTCTGACTCCGGCAGTGTCCGCCATGCCTCACTAAAGACGGAACCGAGGTTTGTACCCCTGGCGATGTAGAAATTGGGGGTGTGGTTGTGAGCAACTAGTCAGCCTGGCACGACCCAAGTCCACGCTCGACTTTTGTTTCCTTCCAGAACTCGGCAAAGTATAGCGGACGAAGTGTCCGAGCCGCGGCACAGGCTCGCAGGCTCATAGCGTGAGGAGGCCTCATTTGCGTCACCTTCGCAAGGCTGACCTGGCAGAAGCCGGAAGACATTACCTGGAAAGCCAGGTTGTCCATAAATATATACAACCTTAACGGTATAAAGCGCAACAGTTACCCCAAATTATGGTAAACTGGCTTTCTAGGTAAAGCTGCTTGACGCAGGGGTTTTGCAGGATCATGATTTTGAGGGTGGATCATAGATAATTGATGCATTGAATGGCTTACTAGCTAAGGATGGTGACTCCATCCATATTACTGGTTCTGCTGCTGTCGATGAATCTCGTCGAACTTCATCCGGAGCCGGTGGGCTGTACGTCTGCTGCCGTGCAAATTGGCTTCTATTGTATGCGGTTCCACAAACCCTGAGCTTGTATCAGGCCTATGACCCGAGATGGAGCACAACACCTCAACTGCACCTCCGCAGGACGAATATCGCTGCTCCAGCCGCCAGGGCAGAGAAGGACTGGCAAGCAGGGCAAGGGTCGTCTTCAATCAGGTCCGGTGAAGTGCTCTGAGAATTTCTAATTCTAAGTTTTGTTTCACCACATCGGAGGGAGGGGCTTCACTTTACCCGACCTGCCGGAAGACAATACTGCCTGGTGTGAGAGGATGGCGATTCCGCCATGAGGGCCTAAGAATCATGACCAGTGATACATACGAGCCGTAGTGACAACTCCTTCCCTAAGGTACCCGTTTTGGCAACGCCAGTGTCGCGCAAAGAGATCTCGAAGCCGTCTATCACCGGGTTCCGCTTTTGGTCGAAGTTCGAACCCGAGGACTTGCCGGAACAACCATGCACAGAAGGGTTTAGGGTGCAGGGGGCGAAAGATCGAATTCGGTTACACAAAGCAAATATGGGCAAATATATACAACGAACTCCAGAACTTGGAATAGGGACCGAGGATGATTCGTGCCAAGACTGCTCGGCACCGCTACACTACTCTACAGGGTATCAGGCTCACCATGCTCAAGACTTTCCCACTTCTGCTTTGTCTACTTGCACAACTGAAGCATCACTTCTGTACAAGTAGAGTGCTTTTGGCCAGGACTGGTGGGACCCGCCTTTCAAACATACTGTCCATCCCGCATGCCGCCCAAGCAGCGGGGGCACATTATTAAATATGCGCATAAAAATGATCCACGTACTCCAACCCCCGAGACTTCAGTCCGGAAAATCGTTTCGCTCAAAATACTGTAAAGTTTCACTGTAAAGCCTGCGGTATCCTGAAAGCTATCCCAAGTTTAGAACCCACAGAACAAAACACTGAGATCCTAAACCCTAAACCCTGAGACCGCACCCGCGTTGCGCCGACGGAGCCCCCGGGGGCGCAGAAGGCCGCCGTCGCCGCGAGGGCCGGCACGCGGCGGAGCTGAGGAAAGGAAGGCGGAAGATTCAGAAAAGTAGGCCTTACTTCAAGACATTGATTCTCTTCTAAGGTTTGCTGTTGCAACCATGGAGTTGGAGAGTTTGGCATTGGGGTTCTGACACGTGTGACTCCTAAAGATTTGTGCATTTGGTTCAGGATTTCGGACTGTCGGATTCGAAAGTTCGCGGTAGCTTCGGACTGCACGTGCAACAAGGCCTGTGCCAGCAAACCTCTGAGCAGAACCCCCCTCTGCAACCCCTCGACTAACAACATGGAGCCTTGGCTCGGGCGTTGGCCACCGCCTGCCAGGACCGCTTGAGAGGCAGTGGGCTTTGAGGGGCTCTTGGGAAGCAGAATTTGAAGAGGGACTCGGAAGTGGAGTTAGCAGGTTTCAGGGATTTAGGGTTTTACGGATATCGGTTGGGCGGCAGCAAAAAGAGGCCTGAAAGCACACGCAAGAATGCTGGACGGTTGCTGAGGGTTCTGGGACACAGCTCCCCAAAACCCAAAACCCTAAACCCTAAACCTTGCGGGCTCTAAACCCCCAAACCTTGCGGAGGAAGCCGAAGTCTGGCAGCCTGCCAGTGTCTCGCCCGCGTCTTTGAGGGAAGTGGCCTTGCTCTGCTGAGCCTGGGCCAGGTTCTCTAACTCTTGCCCAGAGAGCCCAACATACCCCTTAAATAAATAATATATATCTTAAACTATAGGTGCCGTAACATTATGATTTGAAGTATCTTCCTTAATTAAGGGGTATTGAGCTCTCTGGGTGGTTTGATGGTTGAACTTGAGGTGTGGCATCTCAGGGGTCTCTTTGGAAGCTTCAGCCAGGGATTCTGGCACCAGGACCTTAGACCTAGTAAGTTAGACACTTTTCTCGATTTCGGGCTGCAGCGCGCCATCGCAACAGGGGTCTTGGCTTGCCATGTTTTCCGGGAACGCCTCCGGCTTTCAACAAATACATACAAGCCAGGACACAGGTTCTGCACCGACTCCTGAAAGCCGTCGCCATGGGTGTACATGTCCTCCACAACTGAAACGCAAAGACTACAAAGCTTGGGAAAGGATGAGCTCAACCCTTGAGTACAGCAACGAAAGACACCCTAAACTCCAAACCCTAAACCCCAAACTCCGCCAAAAAAGCTCCCTTCAGGATCCGTTGGGCCAAGGAGTCAAGTTCTCAGCACTGCGATCGCGGTCCCGGGCGTGGCTCAGGTTTGTACAGATCACGAGTTGCTTGCTACAGGTCGAAATGACCAGGCTAAAATCACGATCGAACACCCAAACGAAAAACCATTATACCTGAACTCTACAATAATAACGAAAAGACGATAAGGCCCAAAAACGCCTTCTCTAACCTTCAGCCGCTAAAGCCTGAATCCTGAACCCCGGACCCTCAACCCATATATCGGTCAGAAGTCAAAACTGCCCAACAAGTCTCAGGGCCCTTGAAGCCCTCTTATGGTAACCCCGATCGTAACCCTTATAGAGCCCAACTCTATAAGAAACTAACCCTAAACCCCAACCCTTATAGAACCCAACCCTATAAGACTAACCCTAAACCCCAACCCTTATAGAACCCAACCCTTAAAAAAAAAACTCACCCAAAGGTATATCCTCCAGAAATGTTGAGACTCCGTCCTGGATCTCGTCGAACCGAGCGCCAGCCGACCATTGATCCAAGTGCTTGGCCTGCCCAAACCAGTCGAAGACCTGGCTTCGGTTTAGGGCTTAGGGTTTAGTGTTTGATTTGGCTTAGTGTAGGGTTCGGCGCTTTGGGGGTTTCGATGTTTTCTTGGGTTTCTCTTGGGGCTTCACCAGTTGCTTCGTTTGTTTAGGATTGACGGGTTGTAATGCTGGGTTTCTTAGAATCTTAGGCTTAGGGCTTTTGGGCCTGGGGCTTCACGGTATAGACTTCTTGGATTTCCGCGTCCTCAGTTTCAGACAGGCGTATCGGTCATTGGGGCACCTAAACAATCAGATTTATGAACTTCAAAGCGCCAACAACGAGGTGTTCGTGTGTGTGTGTGTGCGCAATAGTATACGTACCGGTAGGCAAGCACATTCCCGCAACCTTTTGCATCAGGGCACCATTCAACACCATCCTGTATGTCCTCCACCCTTGCCCTGTAGACACAGCTCATGCAACCAACTACTAGTAGACAAGACGGACACTGACTTTGGCCCACCTGCTGCTCCTGTTCACCACGGGTGCCTTCGTGCTGGGCCCGTGCGGCCTGCAGCCAAAAAGAAATCGCAAGCCTGGTTCGTGGACTCGTTTTACAAGCAACTTGAGTTCACGGGCTGCGCCGCCACATGAGCTACATAGCTGCGTCGCAGTCCCATCGAAGCCTCATGGAGCTGGGGTATACCAAGGAACAGCGTCAGTGACAGCCGATCCTCCTTGGCTTGGGGTGTCTTGGCTTTATTCTTGTCCTGTGACCCGGGCCTCGCCAGCTGAAAGTACGCGAAATTTTATGGTTTCATGAAAATCTGGGCTGTCACGCAGGAATCGCTTCCTTCGCGAATTGTCTGTCAACGGGTGGGTGCTGCGATCGGTGCACTTCTCAGATCAGTACTACATACAAGAAATCCCTCCTTTCCAAAACAGAGACCCGACCCATCCCTCAGTGCTCAGAGTAACAAGTCAGAACATCACCACTGCGATGGGAGTAACGCCGGAATCTGACTCATTGTGGCAACTGGCCACGAAAGCCTTATCACAAACGACTGCAGCAGTGAGATCTTTTGAGAATCCTTCGCTCGAGAGTTGGGGCCGCCTGGAACTTGCTCCAAGGCTAGAGGCAGCGAGAGTTCTCCTGATGCAACAGATCCCAAGTCATGCCAAGCAGCATCGCTGGGATTCGAACCTGGCAGTGCGCGCATGGGAACTTGTGGCATCAAGAGAAAAGAAGAGGAGGATGAAAGTGATCACCTGGCTAGTTGTGTTTGTATCGGTCGGATATTCGCTCGCAGTTCTAGTCGAGGACCAATTTGTACGATGCCTTAAACCAGATCAGCCACGTGTAGCTAGCCGACAGATCTGCCGAGTATCCTCATTGCATACTGCACGATGCTCAGATTCAGATCCCAAGATGGACGGCAGTGGTCATGCCCTCGATTTGTGTCCCACATGCACATGACAAGACAATCTTCTTTTCGGTATGGTAGTGCTACCAGACTGCTCTGGCTGACCTGAATTTCTGTGCAAATCTTGAAGCTTGTGGACGTAGTCACTGAGCTGTAGGTTCTCCAACTGAGCATTGCATCTTTCGTGTTCGGTTCGCATTGCCCCGATTTTCTGTAACTGGGTGTTGGCATCTGCTAGTTTCCCTTGCCGCTTCCATCGTGTAGCCTGCCGCTGTGCTGCCAAGATTAACCGAGATCTGTGCAGACCATCCTCGTCCAGCTTCTTCCCGAAAGTCTGGTTGCCAACGAGCTCAGACATAGCAGCACGGACTTCCGATGTATTCCGTGGCGTGAGGCCTAAAGCCAGTTGCGCCTGCTCTGCCTTGCAGCTCAAGCCTGCCCTCAACATCTCTTGCAGGACATGCTTACACGAGGACGTACGTCCCATGGACAAGTGGGACATACTGTCATAGGATTTAACCTGAGAATCAACGCCCAACTTCCGAGCCAAAAAGTCCTGCAAGCATTCCAAGACAGTTGCAAACTTCTGTCGAATCTGCAAGCTCAGAGTACCGTGTGGGGTAACAAGGATGCACCCGTCAGCATCAAACAGCCCGGTGAAGTACTCCAATGTACAGTCTCGAGGTGTGGCAGAATCCTGCCGCTTCAAAGCACGCAGCTCAGTATCGAAACGCCGTCGGCAATGCATGTCATGAGGCCAGTCAGCAGCAAGGAGGAGCTGCTTCCTCTTCGTGATGCTGTGGGTTGCTAGCACATGGGATGCCCTCCTAGCACGCTCCCCACTTACACCCCAAGCTAGCAAAGGATGCTGGAGTCCCAGGCCGTCCGAATGGCGGGTGATACTTCCACCGAAACTTTCTTGGAATAATAGGAGCACTCCAGCCCTCTGCAGAGACTGACCCACCACCAGGCGGCATCCAGACAGTCTGTGGGTCTGTGCGTATATGCTTCCATCGCCATCGAAAAAACCAGTCAAATATTCTAGCCTCGCCCTTGGAGGTGCAGCCTGTGCATGCGAGGTTCTACATGGTCCATCCACATACTCCGTGAAAGGCAAGTCATGCACTTTGCCGTTGACTTCAAATGACCGTAGCCTTGGCCAATGCAGATTCTTCAGGATGCTGCGCAATTGATGATTCTTCGCCTTTACCACATGCGCAGAATCGGTGGGTGCTGCAAGCAAATCCTTCGTGCAAGTATCCCGTGTCGCCTCCGCCTTTGTCACCTCCACCTTTCTTTGGCCTGGATCCAGAGTTTGAGCTGAGGTGGCAGCCCTTCGCAGGCTATTCAGCCACAACCCATGCCGACTTTGTAGCATGATATGGAGAGCTCACACTCAGCTAAAGCGAGCTTTCAAGCTTTGGGCCCCGCAATGTTGAGCACCATCTACTTGGATTCCAGTTTCAAGCTGCTGAAAGAGAACTGCTCCTCGGGTCATAACTTCACTGTCAGAGCACCCGCTGACATACACACACCAAGAGTTAAAGCAATGCTCGGCCTGAGTGCAGCAGGCTCCGCCAGCGGCCCTGGGAAAGGGCTTGGAGATAGCCTTGGCTGCCACGCGGAAGAACGGACTTATTCCGGAAGCATTCCGGAGAACTAAACAAAGACGAGCTAACTCGAAGATCAAAGTAAAGGTCTATATATTTGCCCGAAGAGTTCGCAAATCGGGGCGCCGGAATGTGGTTTGTTTGCTGGGTGTGCAGCTAGAATTATGCACGGGCAGTCGGTTGGGGACACCTCTCTCACCTCCCTCCTGCCACTTTGAGAGCTTCTCGCTTCCCCGGTGCCACAAGTACAAAGGTTCTTTGTAATCTCGAGTTGAGAAAATTGTGGGCAAAGGCCGTGTGTCGTGCTGGTCCCGAATGAGCTGTGATTGCTTACCCAAACCAACACTACTGAAACCCCCAGCCTGGCCTTAACCACAACTCACAGGATACAGGCATATCCTTAAAGCTTCACAGCAGGCTAGAAACTCATCGACCGATGTGAGCTTGCTCGGCTCCTGGGCCTGCCTATGAACCCGATTCCGACGGATTGGGTCCGACAATGAACAACCCCATCCGGAACCCTTCTAAAGATGACAAGGCGCCACCCACGAAAAGGTTCATCACCGACGAGTTCGCCTTAAGCAAGAAGCACTGTGGCACTACGTAAGCTCCTTCTCGCGCTTCTGCAGCCCCTGCATCCAAAACTACGGTCGTAGCAGCAGCTTGTAAGTCTTGAGCTGCAGCCCTGTAGGGTGTAGGGTTTAGGGTTTTAGGATTTTAGGATTTAGGGTTTAGGGTACTATAGCTGTTTTTTTGCAAGATTCATGACTTCCGCGCGGAGGTCAGCAGTGAGGAATGGGGCTTTTCCAGCCTAGTTTCTCTCATGTAGTTGCCTAAAAACCCTGGATCATCACCAGCCGCCACCTCTGTGAGCCTCCACAGCTTCCACTTTCATCCTAAACTGGAGGCAAATCCGCACCGCGCAATCCGAGAATCGGACTGCGAGACTTGCAAAGATCAACGAGCTATGCTACCCTGATAGTTGCTGTTCTCGCTTCCCTTGCAGCTTCGTCTTTACTGGCCTCGTCGTCATACTGGAACCGTCGAATCTGCGGTCCTGGAACGAGAACCGGAAGTGTGAAACGTGCTCGAACCAGCAGATGCAGAATGTAGAATTGTGGATGCCTTAAAAGTGGTAGTTCGAGACGAGAAAACTCATATAGCCACTCACTCACAGTGAACCCGGAGCCCGTCAGCAGCCTCTGAAACCTTCAGCCGATTAGGCCCTAGAATCCTAGAACTCACCCTTAATTAAAACAGACCTCATGGGAACCCTTCCTTAACGTTTAAAGGACACCTTACGAAGGGTACGCTTGGTGCGGCTCCTTCGGGCCAACTTTGCAGCCCATGGATTCCGCGGTTGGTCTCGAGGTTCCTGCGCTGGGGTCTGCTGGGCATCGCTTGCGGAGGCAAACGTCTCGAGCCAAACGTTCCAAGTAGGCTTCGGTTCTGCTGTTGAACACGCCCATGTCTCATAAGTCGTTGTTTGCAGGGCTCCAGAAGAGGAGGTCCACACAAAACCCGCGACTGTTTGCTGTCATACATGGACCCCTAAACCCCCAGTCTAGGGTCCATGCGCAACTCTGAAATCTCGGGTTTCCATGCAACGTTCCATGCTCTATACATGCAATTTGGGTTGACCTACTCTCGACCGAGCCAAGCCGCAAAGTCAAGAAAGAGTCGTCGCAGTGGAAGGCTGCATGAGTCAGCAGCGTCTCCTGCAGCCCCTCTACAGCTTCGGGCTCGACGGAAGCTGCTCGAGCAGGAATTGTGTGCGTGTGCGTGGGGGGTTTGGGGTCCCAGGCCTCAGAAGTTTAGATAAACACGTAAAACATGGTTGATGTGTCAGTGCTTTAAGCTTCCACTTCTCTTTGTTGCTCAAGGTCTTCGTTATGGGTTCGCAGCTTCAGGCTCCAACATGAAAGCTAAAACGCCCAAAGGTCTCGGAGCCTTGCAAACGGACGAAAGCCCGAGCTCCTGCTTTGTAGCATCTGGATAGTAGTGCGCGATGGCAGTGGTAATCTGCAGCGCGCCCGCCAGGGAGCCCGGCTCGTAATCGAGGCCATGCTCCTTGCCGAAGAATCGGAGAGTTTGTCTGCTTGTGTGTGTGTGTGTGTGTTTGTGTTTTGATTGGTTGGAGCTCGGTGTTTTGGAGTTTTTTTAAAATCAGTATGGGCCAGAGGGCTACACGTGGATGAAGCTGTTCGGTTGTGCTCAAGGTTTAAGATGGCTAAAGCTGGCCGATATAGAAAAGCCAGGGGTGGCGTTGTCTGGTGCGATTAACTGGGTCCTCGGGACAGGCAACTTCGCCCGAATCTCGGAATCTAAAAGCCCACAACCCTGACCGCCTCATCTGAAACTTCCAGACACCAAATAAACCTTAAGGAAGATCACCCCAGCATTTCGCCAAGCCGTCTGCTTTGCGGAGTATCATAACAATGGAACTACTGCAGCTGAACAAGACTTACGGGCAACTTGGCACAACTTCAGAATCGATCCCAACTCTTCGAACTCACCATAACTCACCTCCGCACTGGACAGCACCTTAACCTACGTCAAATCCCAGAATCTGCAAGGATAAGTAACACCAAAACCCAAGCATTGGAACCCCGAGCCACACATCCAAGCGGGTCGCTGGACAATGCCGATCAGCAGCAGCAGTAAGCCACATCCCCTTGAAACCCGAAACCAACCAAAATACAG